TCGGTGGCGAGAAGATATCTAGGTTTTCTCGTTCTCATGTTGTTCGGGAAATGCTGATTTACATCTTCGTCGCTTACCTCGATGAATCTTGCTGCCAATCAATATTCCAAACAACAAACAAACCAAGTTAATTCAGCAAAGTTTAAACAGGCCCGAATCGTGTCGTCGTTGCTCAATATCACCACGCCACGTGTTACATACGAAAAATACGCCTCTTGGTTCATGGATGTGGTGGTCGTATTGATACTACGAGTGTGGACGTCAGTGTTTTATTTCCCGGTACAACACTCCCGTCCATATAAAAACTGTGGTTATTCCAGAGGTTGTAAAAACGATTTTTACTTTTTATTCACACATTTTTTAATTACTTTCCTTTGCGCATTGTGCTCTTCAATAAAACCAAAAAAAATTATTTTCCGTGTTCACACAATCAATGTGGGTGGGGGAGGGGGCGGGAGAGTCCCTCTGAGTTATTCATCTCGGATTTGTTAAAAGTCACATTTATTTTGGTTCAAGTCAAGCTCTTATGCTAATGATCACAATTTTGGGCCAATAAAAAGTTGATTAAACTGTTTCTATTTAAAGGCAAAACTATACTGTATCAGTTACCTATTCCTATACCTCCTCCTCCTCTTTTTTACAAGTGTTAAGATTTCAATAGAAACCAAAACATAAAATGGAAATGCTGGTAGTTTTCTTACCTTTAATCTACGCTCTCCTAAGGTTACGAAGTGGCAGATTTGCTGAGGCGATACGAGAAAGGTCTGGGACCCTGTAAAATAGCTGTAAAAAACCTTCTCTGAATCCTGGCATCCGAAGAGCGTAAATTATAGGATTTACAAGTGAGTTAGCGTAAAATAGAACTAGCGAAGCCAGATGAAAGCGAGCATTCTGGAAATAATTTAAGGAAAGGCCACAACATGCTATATATATTATCGCTGGTAGAAAACAAAGTAACGATACAAGTGAGACGATAAGCGCAGTACCCGTCAGTTTTCTTTCTCTTTTGGACCTAGAATGGAATTGAAGATGACGACTACATCGTACTTTGATAACAACGAGGATGTAAGATACACAGATAACAAATAGATAAACTGCATAAAATGGGAGATAAAAGTAGGTATTAATTACCTCGACATAACCAATTTCCGATAAGAAAATTATAGCGGCTACTCTAACAATAGGTATTAACCAAATGACAATAATTATGGCTCTATAAACCCATTTGCTCACAAAGCGATGCCTGAATGGACAAAATGTTGCGTGTAGCCGTTCTAAGGAAATAGCCATAAGATTTGTAAATGAAGTGAACGGGAATAGAAGTTGAAATACAGTAAATAGATGATAAGACCAAAGAGTCATTCGTCTGTACTTCCATAGCGGACAAAACAACGTTACAACGTCTTCAATCATTAGCGGCCCAGAGACTGCGCCCGCTAAGAGATCGACTATCGCCAGATGGATGATCAAATATGTCCTCCGCCGCTGTAGCTGACGCTTCTTCTTCACAAAAACCACAATGGTGATGATATTAAGGATGACTATGGCCAGACATTCGATGATGAGGACCACAAACCATGGAATGCACTCTGAAGCTGAGCCGAGAGGCTGCATTTTCTCTGAGCTCTGTTCGCTGCTATAAAAATAACAGAAAAGAGTTCAATTAGAGATAAAATGAAATACGAACTCTACATTCTCAATAAAGAAATATGTCAATTATTGCTTCATTTTTTTGAACGTGTTTTGACCAACTAAGTTTCGTCTGCTAACTAAAACTGATCCTCGTGTTTCTTTATGCGACATTCATACCCGGAAATTTAATCATTCAGCCTATTCATTTATTTTTCTTTTGAAAAAGACGAATATAATAATATAAAACGTTTTCAATGTTCACTGAATAAGTGGGAAGCTTTGCCACTAGTGATCTCAATTGCTTGAAGGAAATTTATAGCCTCCAAAGTCAGATGGCAACAAACAATTTAGAGATCTTCCGGAAATATTTTAGAAAGACTTAATAGAAAGACCCGCTCCTCTTCTCGGTGCCGAAATAGAAATACGGTTATTGTTGCTACCGCCTTGAAAATTTCAAGACAAATTAACCGTAGGTACGGTGAAATGTAACGAGCATTTTTAAAAGCAAAAGCCTCTCTTATTTTTTGTTTTCTACACCCAGAAGTTTAGTTATGGTCTTTCCCGGTTCGGATAAATTTCTTCCTTTGTCAATATCATAAGCAACA